CAATGGAGACAGAAGGAGGAAGGCAACTGAGCTGACACATGTTGGGAAAGGTATCTGTGCTGCTGGTGTTCTTACTGGTCAGTGATGGGGCAGTAGCACTGAGGTGCTTGTCAGATTTGGGCAGTAAAAGTTGCCGCAGGGCAATGCAGGTCTGGGTGCTGAAGCTGAAGGAAGTGCAAAGGAGAAAATGAACTCATGGTCCTGTGGGCTCGCCTCACTGGAGAGATCTCAGCTTTTCCCTCCTTTGGCACAAAAGTCTTCTTAATTACAGGGTGGTTGTGCCACATGGTTTATTTTTCTGCTGGATGTTGTTTGTTCTGTGGAAAATGCAAAAGTAAACTGGATCAAACAGCAAGCTGCTGCTGTCCATTTGAGTTCAGAGGGCTCTTTGCATTCCCAAAACACCCTGAAGAGGTCTTCTACACTGAGGGGAGAGCTAAGACTTGATGGCTCACTCAGACTGTAGTCTCACACTTGAAATCTTCACAAAAGTGACTAGATTTTTTAAGGATTGTCTGTTGGACTTGAGGGTGATCCAAGCTTACCCACAAGTCCCCAAAAGGTACCAACAGCTCCTATCCACTGCCAGCACGGTCCTTGCTTGGCAGAAATTTCAAGAAGGATTGTTGTTCCTACTGTCTGTTACGCAGAAGGGAAAATGGGAATCAGAAAAGTCTGTTGGAGAGGGTCAGTTATCAACTTTGAGGGTGGGGCTGTGCACGGAAGGGAGGTGACTGCCTTTTGCTGTGCCTTTGCAAAGCATCTCTTCCCCTACTTGCTTTTGATGCTGAGAGCCCATCTCAGACTGGCTGGCGCACTGGGTTATCTGTCTTGGATTTAGTGCATCCTACCCATCTGAAAAGTAGGGAGTGTTTTTCTCCTGTCATCCCCGAATGGAGGATGCTCACTGCCCGTCTGTCTGCTGCCTGCAGCAGGCGTCAGTGATTAGCAGCCATTCAAGACAGGCCACTGCTGTGAGCCAAAAGGGTTTGCAAGGAAAAAAGGAAAGGGTCAAGGAGAGGCAGGGAGAAAGGGAAATGAGACATGCACACATCAAGTAACTAGACCCCAAACTGGCCTGGCAGCCCCATCCCTAGAAACCAAGGCTTTGAAATGAGAAATGTTTTTCGTATCTTAAATCTCAAGTACAAACAATAAAAGCCGGCCCAGACTGTGTTCTTTGAAGAGAAAGTACGAGTGACCTGAACAGTGGTTATCAGCAGCGTCATTAAGATAAACCCTTAACATGATTTAAAGCATCCGAAACTGAAGGCAGCACTTTCAGATACTAACAAAATGGTCTGACATTGGGGATGAAAATCAATAGTAATCTGATGTCACTAAAAATACTCAAAAGTGTCCCATGGCTGATGGAGGTGAGATTAGTGTAAATATTTGTATTCTAATCAGTGGCACGCGAGGGCTGTAGGCAGCCTTTCTGTCTATTTAATTAATGGAGTGGCTTTTTAAAAGGATCCTAATCATATGTGATTGTATCTGCTTATCAACATTTTTGCTAATTAGATGATATGGAGGCAGTCACTCTGCTAATTCCCTCATCCAAACAGCATATCCTGCACAGATAAAGTACAGTCTCTTTTTAATAAGAAACAATCATGAGACAGACTAACCTTAATGGTGCTTATTATCCGAGGATCTTTGGGATTTTCTTTTCAACCCACCCCCTCCTTCCTTTTCCTTCATTCCCTGCTTCAGTATGCCAGATGGATGTGGATGTAGCAGTCCCTGTCCCCCCCAGTTCTCCACTCCAGGCACCACCATGTCCAGCCTTCTTTTCCCTCCCAGACAGATATTGGGTCTGTAAGGGCAGGGATTGTCAGCCAGGTCAGGATGGGGAGCAAAACAGAAGGCACCACACAGCAAAATGTCCCAAATGTTTTGTCACCCAGATGACAGGTGATCCCAACCACGCAGCCCCAGTGTCTGATCTTGCTCTTGGCACTCCAGTGAGCCCTGATCCAGAAAGGATTGAGTGCCTCAGAGTTGTGGGAAAAAAAATTCTATTATTGTTTTGATTAGATTAATATTAGGAAAAGTTTCTTCAAGGATCAGGCTGCCCATGGCAGTTGCTAAGTCACCATCCCTCGAGGTATTTAAAAGCCATCTAGTTGTGGTGGGTTAGTGGTGGGATTGGCAGCACTGGGTTAACAGTTGGATTTGGTAGTTTTAAAGGTCTTTTCCAAGCTAAAGAACAATTATTATTGTTGTTATCATGGGGGTTTTTTTTCTGTTTTAAAGGCATCTGAGAGCAGAGGAGGTCTACACAAGTGATTTCTCGTCAGCCTTGTTGATTCTGTGACAAGGATGGGGTCCTTTTATCTCAATCAACACAAGTCAGAGACATTTGTTCCAAGTCCTTTGACTATCCAAACAAACATGAGTAGTGCTTTGCTCCACCAGTCAAATTGTCATTAGATGCCTCCCCATGTGTTAGCCCTTTTGGGGGAGATGCTGTGCTTGGCCTTGGAGCGACATTCTTGGGGATGATGGTCAGGGATGGGCTCACTGGGCTGATCTCCCACTGGGGTGGAACAGAGGAACGTGCCTGACTTCAGAAAAAGACTGAAAAACAAATAGAAAATTTGCCATGAAGAGTGTCTCCTCACCTCTCAAAATACAAATGCAACACCTACACCAGGAGAACCCATTCTGAATGAGTGTAGCTCCCATCCCACAAGCATCTGGGTGGAGCAGTGGAGAAGGGTAGGTGCCTAGTGCTTAGTTTCAGGAGGTCTAGAGTTTGCCTGCTGTTTTTGTAGCTGTGAATGTTGAGCAGAAAAGGCTTAAACGACACAAATTCCCCACTCTGTACAGGAGGGAGCGTCAGCAAATCCTGTGTATTGATCCCATGTGTCTGGCTCAGCATGGAGGCTGGATGTGGGATGGCAGCTGGGGTGGCTCTGGGGAGCGCTGACTGGAAGAGACCCCCAGAAAGAGCGGACACAGAGCTGGGTCTGTTTCCAGCTTTTCTGGGACTCAGGTTGGGGTTTAAGACTAAGCCAAGGTTCAGGCAAGAAGACAACCACCTCTTCTGAGAGTTGGGGAGAGGGCCAGGAACCTCAAAAAACAGTCTTTTTTGAGATATGAAGACAAAGAGGCCTGGTCCTACTTAGTGAAGTTAAGGATGAGCCTGACATGTTTTTTATGTTAGATCATGCCCCGTATCCAAGGCTGGACCTTTCTTCAGCCTTGGAAAGCCCAAATGCTGCTGTAACTCATGTCCATGGACTCTGACCGCAGCAGAGCTCAGAGCACTTTGGTTTCACTGACTGGATCATCTCCACGTGTCATTTGCAGCATGGCTATGCTGAAGTTGTACTCAGCAACACGGTTGGCCGGTCCTTCTACCACTCCTCTTTGGCATGGTCTCTGGCCCTAAATCCTCTCCATGTAATGCACAGAAATTAATCCAATATTGACCACTTTCCCAGAGGGGTTTCCTGCTGCTTGTTCCATGACTGAGGGCTACAACTCAAAAAGAGGAGGGGCTTCTGGGGCAAGGATTGCATTGCAAGCCGTTGAGTCCTGGGGCTTAATGAGGTATTGCTTATCAGCAAAGCACGCTTATCTGGAGCCCGCCAGTGTACCTGCTCCAGCCCCATCATGAGCAAACATGTTTTACCACCCAGTTGCAGGGAGCCGGGAGCACGGTCAGATGGCACAGTTCAGCTGATGTGTGGTAACTCGTGAAGCCACAGCAACTTTATCACTTCACAACATCCATACATAGCCACAGCCTTGAATCTTCGCAGGGAAAGAAAGGATGATGAGTTACTGTTCTGGGATTTTCTCCCTGTTTCCAGTCAGTGGGAAGTGGTATGTGGAGCATTCATTTAATAAACCAGAGGGGAAAAGCTGTAGATCAGCTTCTCATTATTTCAGTGCTGGCTCACGCCATCACTTGGGCTTGTGCCTGACAGTTCAGTGTGTTATTTGAGGCCACTCAAGCATTCTGCAGAAATGATGCCACCCTCCTCTAAAAGTGTGGGGTTCATCCAAGCAGGGAAGGCCTTACTCCATTAGTATGTTTATTGGTGCTTATTTCATCTCACTTTGAGGCCTGTTAATGAAGAAGGTGCTCACTTTGAAGACTAGTCTCTGTTGAGAGCCAGCTCTCCAGCAGGAAACCTCCTGGAGATGTTTTCCTCATGTGGACCTTTGAAGTAAAGCAACTCTGAACAAGGAAAAAATGCACCAAAGGTGCTGGTTTGCAGGGCAAGGGAGGAGTCCTAAGTGGTACAAAACTTAGGTGAGGGTTGGGTGTTATACCACAGAGACATGCAGAAGGGATGGTAAGTATTTCTTACCTCCGTATTTTCTGATGTGTTATACCTACATCCAACAACGGGGGCCTGGGCAACCCAGGTAGCAGGTGAGGGTTACTGAACAATTACTTTAATGGGAGTGGGGAACTGGATAAGAACACTGAAGCCATCAGGAAGGGTGTTCTGGTCCTGCCCATGAGCACTTTGTACATAGGGCTGACGGGAACAGTGAAATTTCCACACTGTGTCAGCAAAGGTTTAGTCTGAGTTTATTGCTGAGATTAAAAGACTGGAGAATACAAATTGTAAATGTGATGACTTAAGAGCTCATAAATTCAGTATACAGCCCCATTCCAGAGAGCTTGCATGCAGTGCAGCCACACTGCCTTGGGCTCATGAGTTGCCCTTGCTCCCATTGCTCAAACCCACACCCTGCAGGGAGCCCTTCTGCCCTGCCTGGCTCCCAAAACATTGCATGTGCATGTGTGTGCACAGATGCTTGGAAGCAAACACACACTGGCCAGGGATGCCGTCCTGTTGTGCACACTGGGAGTTTGCTGCTTATGTACAGACATGGACACCCTGCCTCTGCTTCAGCCCAGAAACCAGCACTAGTGCTGGAGCAGTGAGGGAACAAGTGGAGGTCCTAGAAGATGAGCTCCTGGGAGGAGAGACAGTCCCCCCCTCACTGAGGAGCCATTTGCTTGCATTTACCTGCTATCCAAGTGTCCTTGCAGAGGAGCTCCATGGTCTTACCCATGTCCTTGTGTGTGGGCAGCAGGTGTTGCATGGACAACTTGGTCCCACACATGGAATCAGTCAAAGCAGCATCACTTCTGAGCTGTGGTGCAGAATGCCAGAGTGGGAATGATAGAACTTTTGACCAATGCACAAGTCCCTCCCCCAGTTTTCCACTTATCCCTCTTGTGTCCCCTGCCCTGGAGCTGAGTGACCCCTGTGAGCAGAGGGCTTGAGGAGAGCTTCTTGGAGCAGTGCTTAATGTGTTGAGCCAGTTCTGAGGTGAATGGTGATTGGGTTTGTACAACTGGGTTGCAGCTGTCACTGAGCTGGTCCAGGACAAAGTTCCTTGGATAAATTGCCTAAGTGTTGTAAGCACCTTTGGCATTATGTGCTTTTCCCTCTTTTTCTAGGAAGATGGAGAGCTGGAAACCAACCTGCTTCTAGGATTCATCCAGCCCATGCCAAGGACATAGCTTTTGTTCTGGTAGCCCTAATATGGGATATAGCACCCAGTGCCAACCTCCTGTCTTGCTGAGGGCAGAGCTTATGACATAGTCTGAGCAAGGAGAGCTGGGGACAAATCCTGGGAGAACACCAGAAGACACAGTGGGATGCTTTTCTTCCTGGTCAAGTGGACCAAGCCTCAGCACACAGTAAGCATGAAGGGGATGGGCTTGGCAGTTGGTTCCTTGTCCTTTCACAAGTGTCCAGGGGACAGTTCCTGGGGAAGGTTGTGCTTTGGCTGTCTCAAGGTAAGCCTCAGACTGCTTTTTGAAAAACAGTGCCCTGCAGCCCCCTGTGCACAGGCCCCAACTCCAGTGGCATGTGTGGGGCAGCACTGAGGCTCCTCTGTGTACCAGGCTTCCAGCACAGGGGCCAACCTGCAATAATACACACCAGCCTTTCAGCAAAGCTAAGTCCCCAAGTTCCTGACATGTTTCACCAAAGAAAGTGGCTTGGGCCTCCCCAAAAGCATTGCTGGATATTTGCCATCTCCCAGGGTCCAAGCCCAGAGCACACAGTTTTGGCAGCACTTTGTCTCCGAGATGGTTCTAGTCTGTGAGGACAGCCAGGGGTGCTGAGGGTGGTGCTTGGTACACCTGGCATTTGCTCATTTCTCAGACCTTCCTTTATCAAATGAGGAACAGAAAAGGGGGAGGTTATTTTTTTTTTAATCATTTTTCATTACTGTAAAATCCACATTCCTACATTCCTACTCTTTTGCTTTTGCAGTAGATGTAGCACTCTTGCCACAGGAGCATGTGCAGATATAGGGCTGTGGGTGCCTGAGCAGACTCAGGAACACACTGTGTATATTGGCCAAACCATGCTGCCTTTTCCTACCCTGCCTGGACTCTGTCTGGCAGTGTTGTGGTCTGGCAGGAGTGTCTTCCCTTGCTCCTCTCCACACAGCCCCTTGAAAACTTTGGAAATTCACCTGAAATATTTGCCATTCCTCAGCACCCTGTATGTGTGACCCACCAGAACTGTCCTTTCCCGGGACTCGGTTCTGAACGCAGAGCAGAGATAACGTTTAACAGAGAGAGATGAGAAGGAGATAAAGAAATAAGGGGAGGGAGGGGAAGAGGAATGCAGAGGTATGTGGCTGCATGTTGTACTGTGTTTATGCATAAACAGGCTTGCTTATCGATATCCAGATGTAAGCATGAGCGCAGGGAAATATCTCCCGAAACAGTAGGTGCTGCTGGGCTGGAGGAGCGCTGCCGGAGCCTCCCTGTCAGATGCTGCCGTGTTATCAGGTTGCGGCAGGCGCTCGCATCTAATCGGGGATCTGAGCCCCGGGAGCCGCACCCGGGGCTTTCGGAGACTCCTCCAGTCTCCAGCCCACTCTCTCTGCGGGGAGAGGGCAAGAGGGGACAAAAGGGGCCAAGCACCTCCGGAGGTGATAGTGCCGTGTCTGCCTGCCCGGCTTTGGCAGGGATGCAGGCGCTGGTGTTGCCGCCGCATTTCGGCACCGGGGATGGCACCGGGGGGACACTTAGGGCTCGGCCATCCCTTGCAAGGAGGGGAGAGTGTGGCCAGAGCACCAAAGCGCTGGTTTTGTTCAGCCTGGAGCAGAGAACATCACAAGGACCAAAGCGGCCACTTCAACCCCATCCTCTGTGCTGCAACAGGACAGGAGCTGGCCCTGGGGACAGCGCTGGCAGCCAGGGCTCTTTGCTCTTTTATTTTCTTCTGTGTTTCTAAGGAAGGCCATCAGAGCAAAAAAAAACTTTAAAAACCTTCTTTCCCCGCCACTCCTTAGCACCAAAACGCAATGGCCACTAATCTTACGTGGCTCATAACTGCAAATAGCTCTGGAACTAATTGATCTGACAGTACCGCAGCTGCCTGTCTTTTTCACCAAAATCAATTAAGAAAACGCACATTTCCCCTTCTCCTGCGCCGCTGCGCTGTGAGGCAGAGGGGAGCAGGGGCAGCCAGGACTGGGTGCTGCTTTCCCAGGGCTCCGGGGGTCAGGGTGGGGAGCAGAGCGCCGGGAGCACAGCGAAAAGGGGATTAGCAAGGCAGGGGGAGGGACGCCGCTGGCTCCTCTGACAGGAGCTGGGATGCTCCCTGGGGCCGGGTGGCGGTGGGAAAAGCTTGATTGCCTCATGCAGCCACGCTGTGCCGCGTTCCTCCCTCCCTCCATCCTGGCTCCCTGAAGACCCCTGTGAATTGTCATTCCTTGCCAGTGCAGAGGGGGAATTGGCCATCGGGTTCTCAGAGCATTTTTTATTTGCATGGCTGATGAACCACTCCAGAGGGAGATGCAAGGGAGAGACAGGTGGGAATTTCGGTACTGTTTGCTTGCCGAGTGAGGGCAGAGGTGTGTGTTAAAAAGGATCCGTCACGAAATTTAGGGAGAGAAATTTTGTATTTTGTGGGAGGCAGTGGTAGGAATCAGAGTGGGGTGTCATGCAATTTTTAAGGCTCCTGACCTTGGGGCTCCTTGCCCAGGCAGGTAAAGGCAAGGAGTGTGCCAGAGGGGCTGCAGCTCCCTCTGCTCTGCGCTGGGTGTGGGGTGGGAGGGTCTGAGCTGGGGCGGTGTATCAGCATCACACTGCTTCCCAAAAAACCCAGCAAGAATAAGACCCCCCTCCACGCTTGTTCTTCTGATTCCACTTCCAGATGGAAAAGAAAGCCAGGTCTAGGGTAAACGGGTTGAGTGATAGCAGGGCTTCATGAGCATGTAGCTCCCCAAAAACTCTCTTCTCAGGGAATGTGAGACAACTGTTCTTAAGAAACAGTGGTGAGACACCTGGCCAAGCTAGGTAAAACCTCCTGAGCATTATATCTGTAAATGCCTCCATTTGGTCCATATCACCTCCTCCCATCTCTATTGAAATGCCCTTCTATTAATAAATAACTCCATTCTCCATTACCCCATCTCCACAGCTCACGTTGAAGTAACTGGGAATTAGGGTTTGGTTTTTATAGACATTAGAAATAGATTTTATCTTTATTAAGGGCTCTGTCTCCACCACCCCAACCTTTGCTCCATTGCACAGAGCACAACAGTGGCTAAAGCAGAGGAACCAGGTCCCTGGGCTGAGCTCAGCAAGGGGAAAGGAAGGAGAACTTCTCCCCTGCTCTGGCCAGAGCAAAGGGGGTTTAAAAAGTCCAGGTTCTTCCCGGTGCATTGGTGACCTGTGGCTATGTCTCTATAGTGTGGTGTAAAGTACTTGAGAAAACAAGGGAGAAAATGTGAATGAAGAATACTTAAGAAATTTTGTATCTGAAAGACTTAGTTCTCAAGGGTTTGTTTGTTTTGCCTTTGTAGTGCCTTGGAAAATACCTCTTGGGAAGCCTTCTGAATATAGTCGTAGTGCTGAGCCATCACATGAATCTGGGGGAAGTTTTCTTTTTCTAAGCTGTGGGTTGCAAATAGTCCCTGGAAAATATTTTCATTTTAAGTGCATAGGTTGGCTGTGATGGGGCAGGGAAGTCACAGGACAGCATTTTAAGGCCAGCTTGGACGGCAGCATGGTTTCTGGCATGGAAATCAGTGCATGTAAATTAGAATTGTGGTTTCCATGAATACTATCATATATGGATTGGAAGCTGATTTTCCAAGAGCAGTCGTGCCAGGAAAAGTTGTGCTCTCACATAGCCCCAGGCAGCAAACACAAGTGACACAAACATGGTGAGGGTGAGTTCATTTACAACTGTGACTGTTCAAAAAGTATTTCTAAAATTTGCCTTCCCTGCTGTTCCTCCCCCATCTGTCCCCCTTTCCTCCTCCCCTTCCAGCTATGCCAGAGTGAGCTCGGAGGTTTGGTATCCAGCCTTAGCAGCGGCTGGTGCTGGGCTGGCGGGGCTCGGCGCCACAGCTGCGCACCTGGGCGCAGGTAAGGCTCCAGCAGGGTGGGGACTGGATTCTTTCCCGGCCCCTCTCAGCAAACAGCTCCTGCCCTGGAGCCCTGCGTTCCTCTGCCCTTATCTCCCTGTGCAAGGCAAAGCTATAAATGTTATTGGCCATGAAGTTATTCATCCCCTTCAAAGTTACGCATATGCAAAACAGGCTCTCCTGCTGGAATGGGAGTCTCCATACCAAGAGTGGGTGTTTAAAGATTTTTTTTTTATTATTCATTTATTTTTTTAATAAAAATCTCCAAGGAAGAAGCATATTAACATATAGCAATATTAATAGCACTGGCTCTCTATAAATCTAATTATGTATGTTACCACAAGTAAATAACCATAGCATTTCTTACAAGGTAAACATGCTGTAGCTCCAGGGATGGCTACACTGAGGTGCAGAGCCATAGCCCAGCTCATCTGTGCACTTGGCACTGGAGACAATAAGGAGCACCTTGAGTTGGGACATAGCTTCTGCCTTCATCACAACTCATCCCCTTGCCATCCTGTCCCAGGGATGTGGCATTGGTCCTGCCTCAGGAGTGCTCTGCAGCCACACTGGGACACAGCAGCCTCCATCCCAGTTGGATGCAGTGATATTCCTACCAGAGCAGCATGCAGTGGTGGGAGCAGTCAGCAGAGAGCAGAATTTCAAAACTTGTAAGACCCCATTGCCTTCTGGAAGTTCATAAAATTAGTTCTGGTTAATACCTGCTGTTGTTTTAAAGTCTTTCTTCTTTGAGGAATGATTCAGCTCAAGAAAGAAAACAGCTATTTTACTTTACTGATAACAAGGAGAATTCAATGATATATAAAGGGATGGGAGATCTGTTAAATCTCTCTGACCTCTGAAGCTGGAGGAAGCCATTCCCCCATTTATGGCATGTCTCCTATATTATTAGACTCATGCACAGGCTGTTCCCTGTTTTTCCTCCATTCGTTGATGGCTCAGACCAAGACCAATGCTTCAAGCCAGCTGAGCCTGGAAACCTCTGGATGATCCAAGCAGAGTTCCCAATCAGTCCTATCCCCTTCCCTTCTCCTGTTGCAGGACAGCTCTCTGCAGAGGCTGGTGGTGCAGGGGTGAAGCAATGTGGGACTGGGCTTTCCAGGGAAGCAAATGTGAGACCCTGGACAGCTTCTCTCCCACATTTCAACTTCCATGGCCCAACATCAAACATGTCACTGCAGCCTGAGCCCTCATGGGCCTGATGGAGGAGCAAAAAGAGAGGGCTGGAGGCAGCAGATCCTAATCTTTATTAAATAAGAACAAAGCTTATGCCGGCTAATG